TACTAACTTCTGGGTTTATGCAGTATGGATCGGATGCGTGCTTTCAGGAAATGAATTGTATTTTACCACCCACAATGCTGTGCGAAATTAAACGTAAATCGTCACGTCACGTCCGCCTCCAAATCAAAACAAACGAGCGTGGATGAATATAATCAATTTTTAATCTAGAGTTAAAGTCCCGACTGAAATCGCTACTTTTAATTAACAACAGAAAATATAACAAATGTCTGCATTATTATAAAACCTTTCCCCCTCTATTTAAATAATGATTTCACTATTTAAATGCGTCTTTATTGGTTTATTTTATATTCTGTATATTACTGTCTTTCATTTGTACTTTCCTGTATGTACTGTATGTTATTTAGTTATTTAATCTTTTACTTGATTTACATTGTGATATTGTTTTTTGTTTACCTGACTGTATGTTCATTACTCTTCTTGAGTAAAGCGGCCGGTTCGGGTAACGTTAATGACGTCACTTCCATACTGAATGAATCAGAAGAAGTAGGAACAATATCTGCTACTGTGCGCGCCTACTGAATAGTAGGTACTAAACAGTATACAGCATGGATATTCGGATACAGCCATAGTCTTATTTGCTGCCACTGTTTTCTCAGGGAAACTATGTGGACACAAATCCAATAAACACAAACTGTGAGCGTGTTTGTGAGTAGTTTGTACTTTGCTCCCTAAAACATGTGACATTATGCAAACAATCAGCTGCCAAAGTCTGTTTTCTCACTAACTCTCACTCTGTTAGTGTTGCCTGAGAAGGCTTTTAAAAATGCAAATAACTAATCAAATGTTAATAAAAACTACAGAGTCAGAGGTGCAGGTGTTTTATTGTGTTTTATCAAGAATTTTGCTGATGTGACCAAAAAAGGGGGTTGAGATGCTGCTCTGACCTGCTGATTAATACTCACATTTAAACACTGTATGTTTATGTAAGATGTTGGAGCTGGACATGAATACTGGAACGAATCCACTTTCATCAATCTGTGACCCTTCAACTTCTCTGAGGTCATCCAAGCAGCTCAGTGTGTTTTCATTAAAAGAAAGTCAAGAAATATGTGAAGTGTTTTGTTACATGTACTCGATGGTTGAGCTTTAAGTGTGTGACGATAACCAGTAATCTAAGGTAAAAAGTAAAATTACTTTTTCCTCTTCCCAGGAAAATTATAAGAAATTATTTTCCAAATGTTTTACTTCTCCCTAAATAAGCATAAACGCTGAAAAACAATAATTTAAATAGCTTTACTGAGGCATGTGCACCTGTTTTACACTTCTTACATAAGAAGTCTATTCTGGACTTAAAGGCTTCATATGTGATTTTTCACACTTAAATATAATAGAAATCAAGTATATTCTCTGAAAATAACTCTGTGAGTCATGACTGTCTACAATGGGTGTAACACCCGAGTCCCACTGTCTGTGATGCTTTTAGAGTTTTCCGAGTCCTATCTTCAGTTTGTTTACATCGCCAGGACGGCAGCTGGCTCCTCCCCTCACGAATAAAAGTTGTTTAATTGAGGGACTAGAGAAAAGAAGAATAACATACTGTACTCACTGCTTAACTGTGTTTCTAGATCACGCTCATTTCAGGTAAATTTACATGCAGTGTGAAGATACAAGCATAATAAAGATCGCTAGCATTAGCATGCTAACACAACAATGCACCGCGACTTGTTTTGGTTTCATGCTGGTGCTCAAGGGCGACATCTGCTGCATATAAAGCCTTTAAAGTAAATAATTTGAAAGTAATTATTTCTTCTTTATAAAGATTTGTATGTATTTTCATACATGTACAAAAGCAGATGCTACTCTCGGTAACCTTTGCTCTATTTTACTTCCCAGGTTACCGATGTTTCAAGATGGTCATGTTCTTCTCCGGCTTCATGTTCAGCTCTGCAGCAGTGCTCCTGTTTTACCACAAGGAGCCCGTGTTGGACGTGAAGCTGGGGACCGAGGCGAAGGCGGGGATCGGTCTGGCTGTGGATGTTCTCTGCGGACTGACGACCATGCTGGTGCCCACCCTGGGACTGATCTTCAGCGGCATGCAGCTGGGTAGCCTGCTCTCCCTCCCACTTCTGGTGGTCATAGGACAGTTTCACAGCCTCACTCCGGTGTGGGTGCCTCTCAGTGCCTTGTTGGCTGCTGGCATCATCACTGCTGTCTTAACACTTCAGTGGCAGAAACTTTTCACCATCATTTACACATCTGTGCTGGGAGCCACCACTGTGATGCTGTGTGTGGATTATATGATTGGGACGTTTATGCTGCCAGATCAGGTGTACGATCTGCTCTGTCAAGCCGCCCCACGTCAGCTCTGCTGGTTCAACTGGGCCATCATAGGGATATGGCCTACCTTGAGTCTGATAGGTGTGTTGGTGCAATGGAGGTTTACTGCCAAAGGAGTATCCCACAGAGACGGTGAGTTTACTTCAATCTGCTACTACTCATGCATTCAAACACTGGCCCCCTTAACAGCTCAATCCCTCCTCCTGTGATATTAAATACTCACTATTTTATTTATTTTTTCCTCCCCTTTGTATGCGCCCCTGCTACAGATAAAAAACAGAAGAAATACATAAAGAAGCACAGACACAGAGAGACAAGGGCAAGGCCTCGAGCTTACCGTCGGCGCAGACCTCCTCTGCTGAATCGCTACGCCGGGGACGTCCTGGCACCGGTAAGTGGCTCGAATAAAAGTTTTGTTTTTCGTTTCATGTGACGTGAGAAATAGCCTCATCGTCAGAAGTGTGCCACCAAGTGGTAACCTCACTGCTGAAAATGAAGCCAATGCGGAATAGCAAAATAAAATGCGGTTCCTCAAGTGTCTGCTTGTGACTGTCTCTACAAAACAATAGAGCCCAAATTAAAAGCCCATTTTAACAGCAGAAATAAAAACCCGTTAATAGTCTGTTACAAAAAACTGTTTTGGTCTATTAAGCTCATTTTTTTATTAATAAAAGTGTACGAGAAGACTAAATGGACGAATTTGAAGATGAAAAGTTAGTGCAGTGGCTAAACTGACTGACAGGTGGTCGTAGCTGTTCAATTGAGTTGAAACCAGTTACTTATACTGATTATAGTGTAATGGAAAAATAGGACTTGTTTGTTTGAGGCTTCAAAATGGGAAAGCCGTTGACGTGACACTGTGACGCAATCGATCTTAAAATGTGCTCTTAGAAGGAGGCAGCTCCTGAGTTGAGGCACAGCTCATGTCTGCCACTGGGAGAAGAGCGAGTTAGACTTGGTTGGAGAGGTCACTGTCGGGAAGACGATGCCAGCAGAGATGTTTAAACAGCGTGTTTAACTTCTAATCTTTTAATGTAACAGAGATTTTTTTTTACATCTTATAAACCCATGTAGATGTTCGGTGCAATAACAACCTGCTGTACGTCCGTTCCTCTTTCAGAGTTATCTCCGGAGCCTACAGGAGCACCGGATGGGAACAGGCTCCTCCACCAGCAGCGTCAGCACCATCACACACACACTGATTGACTTTGACTATGAGACAGGCTCCATGGTGCCTCTGACTGCTTCCTCTCCTGTCTTTAATTTCTGAAGGAACTCACAGCATCAGATATCTATTTTTAACTTAAACAGTCATTTAAAAGTTCACTTCCGACAGAAACATATCAAGCACTTCTCCTGCTGGTAGGACCACTCAGTAAGAAGTCATCATCAGACCCCCGCTTCCTTTGAACAGTTTGACTCACAGACACTTTTTGTTTTAATATTGAGATGTTTTGTTTTGCACACCGCCATGATAAACTTAAATACTACCCAATGTACATCGTGCCTAGATTAGTTTGGGTTGTAAACAAGGAACTTGCTCCAACATATGTGAATAAATTATGAACATGTTTCAGAATAATATAGGGGAATGTTGTACGATTAAAACAAATAAAGCCTTGATTTAACAGAAAGCTTACCTGCTGTCAGAGTAATGTCTCGTTTCACTGTCTGTTAAAGCAGTGATGGGTAAATATATTTATATTTTGCAATTTTGATGAGTCATAAAATGCGTAAACTGACTCAGCAGTAATACACAGTTGCATGATGCGGCTGGTAAATGTTGGTGCAAGCTTATAAAGCTTAAAATAGTGTTGTACAATGGGACTGGATTTTTATACAAGAATAGAAATAATTGATATTTAACGGGTAAAGATTTTAAAAATGTTATTTCAGTTCTGCTTAAAAAAACTGTCTAGCACATTCACATAAGAGGTATAACTTACCCTGGTTAATAAGACACCTGCTACAAGCTGAAAGTGGTCACAGAGCTTTATGTACTAATTTCTATTAATTGTATTTTATTTCATTTTATTGAAGTTTTTTTTTTAAAGAAGATGTCAATTAGCCAGTTAGCCAAAACAGATAATCGGCACTATTTCCCTCTTGCAAAATAAAAAAAAAAGTCTGGCTAAAATGAACACTTTAAAAAATCATAGGAGCAATTATTATAATGAGCTCATGCAATAAATACTTTTCCCAAAATATGTGAATGAAAAATGTTTGTATGAGTCACAGCTGTAAAGGAGGCTCAATACTGCTGAAATTCCTCACAGAACTTTATTTTTCTTTTTTTTTTTTTTTTAAATAATGACAAAAATACCAATGGCTGAATTCCAATTAGCTGTTTCAGTGAAGGTCCTCGTACTGTGTGTGCTGGCTCACTGTCATGGATGTGTGCTCTAAAAACAACAGAGCCATTGTTATTTCTTAAACCTTTATTTTTCCTACAATCACAAATCAAAATGTGAGCTAAAAGAAGGACCTATTCATTTTATGCTGCAAGTGAATTTATTTTTATTTCAGGAACATTGAGCCCGTCATCAGTAGATAAAAACATCATACACCATCATTTTAGAGTGTATGGTTATAGCTACTTAAAAAAGAGATTGTCTTGCTACAAAAAATGTCCTTTGAAGCCAGAGCTCATGCATAAATATCCCTCATTGTTATGTTTCTGAATGGTTGTGCAGGGTGAGGGTTTGTGTTGAGTCTCCGCTGCCCTCTGGTGGCTCAGTTATTACAATGCATCCAGCGTGTGGCCGTCCTCTGAGGATACCCCCTCTCAGCTGCTTGTTGGTTCTGGTTTACACGCCAGTACTCGCTGCCTTTAAACACGTAGATGTGACCGTTTGTCCACGTGAAAGCAGCATCGGTGCTGCTGGGTAAACCCTGAAAGAGTTTTCCAACGGGTTTGGGATATGAGCTGAAGTCTGTCGGGCCAATTTCATCCCACTGCCAGTACGCGGAGCCCTAAAAATAACAAGTGATTAACTTCAACAAAACAATGTCTTAAAATAAATCCAAGAACATGTGAAATTCGTATGGAAGTCCAAAACAGCCATTGTTGCATTGATTATTTCTTATGTAATCGTCTAGAGACTACAGGTTAATTAGGCTATTTATTTTTCCAATATTATCTGTGAGATGTAATTGAAGGAAATGGACAGCTAAAGAATCTGGCTCATGTGATCACACCTGATCTCAGCCTTCAACATCTCCATCAAGACTTACGAGGAGGATTCACAACTGAACAGTGATTACTACAGTCTGATTGGTTGAACTATTATGAGCCTAAATCAATTGCTACAGTTTGCAATGCTGGGATGGCAAACCTGATCTTTTATAAATTTTATAAGTTATACGTTTTTATTTTAAGAACCGGTTCATATTCTTATTTTATAAAGGAAAATAATATTCATGAGACAATAAAATAAGGAATTGTGATCTTGAGATCAAGTCATTTAAAAAAAGATTGGGTAAATGGCCGTACTTGGCCTCCGTACTTTTGTACTTACTTTGATAAAAATAAGTTGTTTGTTCTTATTGAAGTAAAAGGCTGAGTCGATGTTAGCGGGGATATTTGCCAAGGCTCTTGGGAAGCCCTTGTCAAGTTTAAAGTTGGTGTATCTCCATATTTTGTTGCCTGTAACAGAAAAATACAGTAATCAAGGATAGTTTTTCACACACTGTTGAAATCCTGCTAACAATGTACATCAAACATATGAGAATCTATACAACTCTGAAATAGAGCCACCCTTGAGAAAATAGGTCTTGCTGGTCCGCTGAGAGTGAACTGCTGCGTTGAGGCTCCCTGGAAGCTCCTTCCACAGAGCAGAGATCAGGACGGGAGAGTTATAACCGGTACTGGACACCGTCCACACGTACTGACCGCTGAAGACGTACGTCTTACGTAAAGGACCTGCAGGGACACAAGAGGAAACACTGCTTCACACAGATGCAGTTTCTTTTGAGGGAAAACAGTTGTATATACGTATTTTCTTTGAGGATTTGTTCCCTGATTTTTGAACATTATTTGTATCTATTTAAGAAAGGTAAATAGAGGGGGAAACATATTCTAATTATTCTTCTGGCACTAAGAGTTTGTGTCCTCTCAACTTTTGGGTTCCCTGAACTTGATGTAAAAGTATGTTTTTCCACATAGTGCAGTCTGAGTTTTTGTACCCAACATTACAGCATCCAGGCTGGCCTTGCAAGGATCTGGAGCTCCCCCAGGAACTAACGCAGCTGGATTTCTGGATGGAGGAGTTTTCTCTGGCTTTCCTGCAAAGAAACAACACATTATCATATACATGTGTATCCTACACCCTGACACTGTGGTATACTTTTCTGACATTACCATATAAAGTCTGGATGCCATGTATATCATCCGGATGAAGCTTGAAGTCGGCTCGATAACCGTTGTACACAGGCCCCATTAGAGCGCTGTAGTACTGTGAGTGACCCAGACCGAGAGAGTGGCCAATCTCATGAGCGGCAACTATCCTCAGGTTGGAGCCGGAGGTCTTCCCTTCTGTCCACATTTCATCTTGGTCGAAATGCACAAGTCCTGACTCAGGGGCATCAGCGTGGGCTAACACTTGACCTTCAGGATAAAGAGAGACATCGTATTTAACACGTGAACATGTTTTTTTTACATGTGACATTTCTTACAAATTAAACAAAGATACAACAAAACACTGCTGTAGGCTGGGGAAATATCCAGATGATGTCGTAAATATGACGAGATCTTGAGAAAACTAATTAAATGTACGGATTGTCCACATCAGGCTTCCATATTTTATAGTGTTTAGAGTTTTTCTACTTTGTACTTGTAGTTTAATATTTTTATTTTTCAAACAGGACCTCGATGTTGCCTCCTTTCATGCACTAATTCTGAAATGACAATAACACCTCCTTGAAGCCTTAAAGATTTTTAAACTTCTCAGTTTGTCTTTAAGACATCCACATTTCTATCGTTCTTACCTCTCCCATCAAAAGGCACTGGGCACGTCTTGTCTTTTCTGTGAAAGGAGATTTTGATGTCTGCTCTTCCTTCCTGCAGCTCCTTAAACCTCAGAGGTGAGACATCACTCCAGTACTTAAATGCACTCTGGATGGCCAACCGTGTCTTTCCTTTCCCCAGGTCTGGTGCGTAATTAAAGACGCGGTAGGTCAGCAGCTTCTTGCGCCAGTAACCTGTTCAAATAGAAAAGATTTAGGAGACTTTGAGTTTGATGTTTTTCCACAAACTTATCAGGAAACAGCTGCAGTAAAAAATGTTCAAATTTTGAATATGAAAGTTGCTCACCCATGACTCGATATTTGAGGGATTTGTTATTGAAAGAGTCTTCTAGACCACATCGAGGTTTGCTCATCATTGCCAGAGTGGCTGAATCCAGTTTCCCAGATATTTGCACGTTTGTTGCCTTCTGAAATATTCTGACATACAAGCATGAGACATAACTATAGTTAAAGAACCGGGGTTAAAAACAGAAGGAGGCATTTGTTTGGAAGAAAATAAAATATGGTCACCTTAGGGCTTCGACTATCTCCTCTGGTGAATGGTTTTTGTCTCCACTGTCCAGTGGGATGTGCAGGTAGCCATACTTTCTTAAATATGCCTGAAGAAAGAGTAATCATTGCAACATAAGTGGAATAAATATTCAGTTTTATAAATGAACAAATGTACTAACAGAACTCTGGTCCTGTATTAAAATATGTTAAATGACTGCAAAGCACTGCAGCTCCTTTCTTTACATGTATGAAGACTTCCTTTGTTAAATTAATTAAAACAAAATCAACCAATGGGATTTTTTTTTAAATTATATTATAATCATACACATTTACCAAACAGCATCACTATGGTTTGTTCAAACTGTCAGTTAAACTTAATAATCAACAGCAGAACGGACATTTATCTCCGTTATAACATGTAACATAACCAGACGTATTGACAGAAATGATAATATTTGATTATTTTTATCTTATTAGGCAGCTTTTAAACAGTTTTTGTACAGTTAAAACGTTTCTGAATCCTTTCCAATACTGAATCAGAGTAAAGACTTAAAACCATGCAGTATAAAAAATGAAATAATCCGAGGTCTGTAGAAAAGAAATGTTTCAGCATCTCCACAAAGTAGTATATTCTTACCACCGCCTCTGTGAACTCTTCTCTGCTCAGGGCGACAGATGAAGCTGTTGTCAGCAAAATTACAAGAAATATTAACTCCAGTCTGAAATCCATTTTTTGGTTTAAGCTTTCTTTTTTTGCATTACTTAGGGGACAAAAAAAAAGTCTAAAAAGGAACCAACACTATAAATTGACCTTAACGACAGATTAAAGGTTCTGGGTGTCTCTAAGCATCACAAAAGACCACAGCTCATCCGTCCACATCCATCCTGCTGCTCAGAGCTGAAGCTGCTGTCTCATTTTAGAGATTCAGGTTTTATACCACCAAGTATCTGCTCAGGAACTGCCTCCAAACCACAACATCAACCTTCAAGAGGAATGTGATGAACAAAGAACTAAAGATGTTTGAGACACTCACAGCAGGATAGAGCACTCTGACACCACCGCCGAGACAGAACGGCCTTGAGGTGTTTAAGAATAACCTCTGAGTGGTTTTGTTAACGTCAAAGAAAGCAAATAAATTCATTATTAAGTGTGTTAGAATAAAAAAAAGTTGATCTGCCCACCAGCTATAAAAGGTGATGACTTATAACCTGTTATGTCATTGTGGTGGGAAAGAATCACGGATCTGGAGATCTAATTAAGCTGCAGGAGTTTGTGGGTACATTTTCTTCCAGACGTCATAAATTAAATTGTGTGAGATGTAACGATGTTTATATTTGTGAAACAATGTTCCTCATGAGTCTTTACATAGCTCACATAGTTAGAGCTCTATGAAGAAAACAACTGACCGCACATCCTCCACGGGACAACAGCTAATTGTATTGTTCACAAATGTAGGAGCACATTCAAGGGGAAAAATAACGCCCCCATGAAACCAGCGCTACAAATCGTCTTCAGGAGGCAGACAGAGAACGCCTCCTTTGTAGGAGTTCAAACTAAAAAAAAAAACACAGCAGACAGATGTGTTTGGAGACACACTTCCGCCTCTGTGATAAAAAAAGGATCACATACTTTATTATGCTGAACTTCATGAAAATAATGATTTTATGTCTCAAAGAAATGACACATTACCAGAACACAGTGACAGACTTTCTTTGAATGATGACTTAACATGTCAAAATAATGACCTATCGCAAAGCTGTGACTCACTTTTGAGTAGTAAGAGGATTTCTTAAAAAAAACAACTGTAAAAAACTGTATCTAAAAAAATGACTCTGCAAAAGGATAATGACTAAGTGTGTAATGTAAGGTCGGAATCTTCTCAAAAAATTGTGACTTTTGGTGAAATGGTGAAAATAGTCTCAATGAAAAAACTAAAAACAAAGACACACACATCCCTAAGTGGGTGCTGGATCCAAAAAACAAATAAAAAAGCAACAAAAAAAAAAGTCGTCGTCTGATGAAGAGCATGTTGCCTCAAAACGTCACTTGTTAATAAATCCTTTAAAATGGAGCTCCTTGGTGTGCAGATCTTTTTTAAACATATACATATGTACATATCATGTTTTTTATTTGTTAAGCGTCTCGAGCCAGATGCAACAGAATGTGGTTCTCCTGCGTACTTGTCTGGTATAGAGTCTGAATGACAATTAAAGGAATCTTGAATTTAATCTTTAGCTTCTTTATCTAAAAATAATGACAGCAGTTTATAACGTATGACTCACTAAGCGTAGCCTGATGAGAAACTTTCTTTAAATGATTCAGTGTCTCGAAGTAATCACTAACTCCCACAACTTAAACCACTTTCTTGTAATATTAGAATCTCAAAAAGTAAAGCATCTAAAAAAGGTTAGGATGCAAATGTTATGAGAAACCTCCAGATAAAGACTCAAAGGTCACATATGATGCAAAATACACTTTACCATGTTTTTCTAACACTCACGTGTCTCTATCGTGTACAATCCCCCATATTATGAGAAAAGTCCATCCTCTTTTGCCTGCTCCGATTTTAAGAAAATGTGTGCTCAAACAGGCCTTTGGAGATTTTCCCTTCATGACATCACAAAGGGCAGTAACCCCTCCCCCAGGTGGGTGACACTCCCACAACTAGGTTTTTGTTCTGCCCTCTGAGTCTGCCTTCTCACCATGAACAAGTGGGCATGGTGCTAGCAAGCCCAAGCCTCATCCCCTTCCAGTAAGGGGCGTGGTCAGACACCGCTCATTTGCATTTAAAGGTACAGACACAGAAACAGCCTGTTCTGAGCAGGGCTGAAATAGAGGTTTATAGGCATGATCAAATACAGGTTCAGAGTGGATTTTGAACAAGACACTTCACAGAAATGTTTTTGGGGAGCTCTGAGACTTATTTAAACTTGTTGAACAGGAGGATAATATGTGACCTTTAATCTTTCAAAATGGTGAATCAGTCTGAAATAAATGACTTTGTATCTTAAAATAAAGACAAAAGCTGTTCAGTGTGTGAGTCCTGTGTAGCTCCCCAAACTTCATGAAAGTGGAAAAACTATGTTGTCAAGGGTTCCCTTTCATGTGATTCCTAAGAAGCTCAACTCAGGGCAAGAAATCCCCACACAACAGAAGCTGTGCCGCAAACATGAACGTATTTTATGTCAGAAAAATATGAAGGAGAGACATCTTCTGCTTCAAGAATCAGGTTTTATATTTTTTTATTGAGATTGACATTTATTCTCTATTATGAGTGTGTTTCTACTGAAAACAAACATCTTTTAAACACATAGCAGTTTTTTTAAGCTTTATTTTTTTTAAAAAAGGCTCAGCCGGTTCCTTAATCAGCCGGGCACTGTAGAAACAGAAGTAAATGGTGTTTTGTTTTTTTTGACTGTTTTCAGCTGCTCATCAACACAGTTGTAAGTATTTAGGACATCAGAATGTGTATTTGAGTTCAAATAATATAAAAAGGGGTCCATGTTTATTAGGATAAAGAAGCCTGTCATCCTCTGCAGCAGTGTGGCTCAGTGTGGTGAAGCTCTGTGGCACCGTGCAATAAAACTGTACCCGGCTGTGATTACACATAATACTTTTGGGTTTGTCTTGTGACAAACGAAAATATACGACTTCATAAGCTGTATACGTTAATTGTACATGTTTCCAAATGATCCAATCACAACAACAAAAAAATGTACGTCCTGACTTCTGAAATACTTTCATTCAGGTAACTCACAGAGTTCCTGTCCACTCTTCTACCAAAAAGCAACATGACATAAACACCTGATGCAGCATGTATTTTTAATTGATGTAAAGACAGTTCCTCGACATTAGTGCGACTTCAAGAATCCATCCAAACGTTGACAAAGTGTTAATTCCCAGAGCAAACAAAATCTATTCTCTGGAACAATTTCATGTGTCAGTAATACCTGATGATGCTATGAAAAGGTACAAAAATGGAGAGGACAGACTAACACAAAACAATCACAATGATGTCTTTAAAAGATATTTATAAATGAGTGACCTGGCCAGTTAAAGTGTTTGAGCAGGAGTCATTATAATGTAAAACTAGAAAACAGACTTGTCAGTTCTGGAGATGTGTTGCCTGCTACATAAGCGTCTTGTTATTCTCAGCTTAAGACATGCCGAGTCTGAGGTCTCGTCCAGAGTTCATGATGAATATCAAACAGGTAGATTTTTTTTTTTTTTTTTATCTTAAAGGAAGCTATGATGACGGAGCTGTAAAGGTCCCTTCTCTGTCTTTCAGTATGTTTAGTCTGTCTGAATCTTTCTGCTTTCCTTTAATTGCTTCAAGAATCACGCTCGAGCTCCTGTAGCTCCTCTTTCAAAGCCAGTGCCCGAGCCAGCTTTTCCATCTGATCCTTTGTCAGCTCTTTAATTTCCCCCGAGTCCACTTTCTGTTGCAATTCCTCGACTTGTCGCAGCTTCTTTTTCAGGTTTTTGATCTTCTTGGCCTTTTCGGCTGCTGCTGAGGAATCACCGGTGGAAGAGACTGACTCCGGCGCCGCTGCTGTCTTGTCTGAAGACTCCCCGCCCTCTGATATTGACACGTTCTCGACGGCGTCGCTCACCAAGTCCACATCGGGGTCCTCGTCCTGGCCCTGATTCTGCTGTTTTCGTTTCTCTTTACGTTTCATGTTTCGTTTAGCCGACTTTGAGAGACCGGCGTTGTCGCTGTCCCCGCAGCCAGGGATCTTTTGCTGCTTGGTCGGAGCATCCTCAGACTGGCTCATCCCAGGAGGCAGGTCTGGTTTGCTCTTAAAAAACTTCACATATTTGTTTTCATAGCTGAAACAGAAAGAAAATTGAAACACAAGTCAGAGAACTAAGTCATTTTTCAGTTTCTGAAAGCATTTATGCCCCTTCTGAGCACAACCCCATCGTGCTTTAACACTAACGTTAGGATCACTACGTCCTGTAGGAAGGTAAGAACTACACTTACACTGGTACTTCCTCCTGGGGGACATAACCATCCTTCACTCGTCGTGGCTTCCTCCATGTTCCATCAGGTCGCTGTGTGGAAGCAATGTATTTCCCTGAAGAGCAACAGGGACAAATCTTAGAGAGGTGCTTATAACTCACTGCATGAATAACTCTGCACATTCTTAGGCCAGCAGACCCTTAAAGCCCCCCTGTCCACCTGAACATTTATCATGACATAAAAAAGTTGAGAGCTGGGACTAAAAGGAGAAAACATCAACAGACACTTCTGCTTTAGTTATTGCTCTGTAATGTTATCCACTATTTATTTATTCTATTTTAAATGAACATCTTTTGTCCAATGTTTCTTTTTTTGTTTGACAGTGTAACATCTATCAAATAAGAGTCAATAGATAAAATATATCCTCATTACCAAATGAAGATTTACAACGTTGATTACTGTTAATGGCCCTGTTCAGTAATATAACTGGGATATAGTTTTAGATCTTCTCTGATCATTTGATACCCATGAGAGGAAAATAAACGGCTAAATGATCAAACACACCAGCCCACAATGACCCTGGACTAACAGCACTCAAATAAAGTGGATCATTAATGGCAAAAACAAATATTTTACATTTAAGCACCAAGTTGAGCATTTCTGAACTAGAGTATTGGAGATGAAATAAATTACTTATGGGCCCTTTTTGGACTGCACACATATTATGGGAACTATCAAATAAGATGGAGTTGTGGTACTTTGGTCTCATTCTGGCGGAGCTGCTTTAAGTTTTCAGGCCACCAGATGTCACTCTGCATTTAGAATTTAAAGCCAAGGTTTGTAGGAAACAACTACCATCTTCTTTTGAGGATTCTTCAGTTTATTTAGACAACAAGGTTGGGAACAATTTTCTAAGAACATTGTATGCATTACAATCATAAAATAATTAGGGACGCTTTGATTGATGCATCGCTTTGACATCGGTACCGGCTGATATATGAGAGATCTCAGGTCATGAGCACAAAACCTTCTGTCACTGCCTAGATCGAGGACAAAGTGCAATGGGGATCGGGCTTTTTTCTATCGCAGGACCAAAACTATGGAACTCTTTGCCCCCAGACATCCGTCTCTCTACTACTATTGGTGTTTTAAAACATATTTTTACTCAATTGCTTTTAATGTTCAGTAACCCATCAAGCACAAAAAACCCATAGCTCTGTTATTCTTGTGTTACACTGGAATTAACAGTCTCCTGTTCTCTTCTTTTTTTTTTTATTGTTCTTGTCTTGTTACTTTTTAATGCTTTGTTTCTGAAATGTTCAGCACTTTGTATCAATCAATGTTGTGTTTAAAGTGCTATGTAAATAAAGTTTATTTGATTAGTAATTTGATTTAAAGTAATTTGATTTGATATATGGCAAATAATGTGGCATGAACGATGTCATTAGTCCATGTTTTATTAGTGCTAAATCAATTTAAGGCTGCCATCTAGTTCACCTAACTACTGATTAGGAGAAGAGGTTTTTAATTAGGCAGATTAAGTCACCTGACTAAAAATGGTGGTATTTTGGGAGACTTGCACCAAAAGAAGCCATGAAACAAGAATCGGCTAAATTGTTATTTTAAATATCGGTATCGGCCCTGATTTTCCCAAATGATGTATCTCTAATAATAATAATAATAATAATAATAATAATAATAATAATAATAATCAGCAGGACTGTTTTGAGTTAAATGTGTTAATTGATGCATTATGTCATTTAAGTATTAAAATACACTCACCATGTTGTTTTATCTTTTAAATGATAAATACAATAAACAAATATGGAATTCCAAAAGACACGTTGTTAACGGCTCTTCGTCTACAGAGATTTTAAAAGGAAACTGTCTTCACATTTAATCCATGAGGTCAAACTTTGGCATATATAAAATATATTTCTTTTCTTTCCATCAACTCACTAATTCACTCCATTTTTAATAGATTAATGTCTGTTTCATTCAGCTGATAGAGGGTTAACACTCAGTCTTTCTATTGTGTGTATGTGTCTAAGTGTGTGTGTATGAATACGTGTAAAGGTTACTGTATGTGTTTATATTTAATTTTGTAATTCGATTTGTTTAGTTGATTTTAGTTTAGATGTTTATTGCCATTTGCACAGGTACAAGACAGTACAGGTACATTGGAATTCTTGTGCGTTTCTCCCGAGTCAGCTTCTACAAAAAAGTTAAAACTATATATAAAATAGACTAGCATTGAAGAGAAAAAGAAAGAGTACAAAAAAGTAAAAATAAATAAGTTGAATTAACAGCTAGCAAATTAAAATAAACTGTACAGAAGTTATACACTATTAAAGCAAATATATAACACAAAAAAAAAAATAACAAGGGGAACACTGTACAATGAAATGAAAATATAAATATGTTTACATATTACACTTATTTATTTTGATTTATTTGTGTTTTAGGAGGTGAGTTGTATGTTTTTTGTTAATCCTATTTTGATGTATTCTTACATGTGTGCTAATAAACAAATAGGGTAAAATAAAAATAAATAATGAACAATAAATGCACAACTCGCAACACCAATGTAACAATCATAGGCATCAGGATAGTTAAATAAAAACACAATTTAAATGTATAATACATCTGAGTTTTGTCAGATCTGTTTTAATAATCAACATGAACCCAAATGTCCAATCATAGCAGAAATAGCTATGTAGCATTCAGCCAGCTAATGTTAATGTGGCAGCTGCAGT